TGGTGTGCATATATCTCTTTGCTTTCCAGCTCTCAATTCTTTAGGTTATCTGCCTAGTAGTGGGATTGCTGGATCAAATGGTATTTCTATTTCCAACTTTTTAAAGAAGTGCTATTCAGTTTTCCCCTTGTTAGCTCTACTATGTACCTGGACACTTTTGTAGCACACACAAATACATATGTAGAAATATTGTTGCACCATTTCACAGTTCCACCAGCAGTGTATGAGAGTTCTCATCTCTCTACACCCTTGCCAGCATTTGTTATTTTATAACTTGTTGAACTTTGCCTTTATTGCTGGGGTGAGATGATACTCATTATTGTTTTTCTATTGGCTATTGATCATGAGCATTTCTTCATGTGTTTGTTGACCACCTGAATATCTTCCTTGATGAAGTATCTGTTCATGTCCTCTGTCCATTTCTTTTCTTTTTAATTTTATTGTGATTTGGGTACAAATCGACAGAGCATATTTGTTTTACATTGAACAGTTCGTGCATATTTGATTTCATGCTGCCATTACCATCCCTGACCATAACAAATTCTCCTCTCCTCCTGTCCCTGTGACTACCCCCTCCCTGTTTCCTTCTTAACTCTGCATTACTGTCTGTCCAGTTTTCCTTCTATGTGAATGCTGCCCCTCTGATGTCTCATGGCTGATTGCTCTCAGGGGTGCATCTCCCTAGAGTAGGTGAGTGCATCACCCTGGGAATGGTGTTCTGCAACTGTTGGGCTGAGAGCCAATCTATGGGAGTGAGTTCATTTCTAGGCCCGAAGGCTAACCCAGGGCCATAGTTTTGGGGGTTCTACCAGACTCTATCCGACCAGTAATTCTGGTGATTGTTGTGTTTTTTAAAATTTTGTTCCACATTTTTTCTCCCGCTCTATTCAGGATCTCCAGTTTTAATCCCTTTCCAAGTAGTTGGCATTGTTGGCCGGGCACCATCTAGTTCTTCTTGTCTTGGGGTCATGAAGGCTGAGGTCCTCGTGGTCCATCTTATCCTGGGACAGATTGTTTCCAAATGCCTCTGCACTCTTCTTTGATTCAGAATAGTTGCATCTTAGATGGCCACTCAAAAGCTTTTAAGACCTGAGTGGCTACTCACCAAAGTAGGATGGATGTAAAACAAGATTTTTATGTACTATATTGTGCCGGTTGAGCATGATGCCCCCGAGACTACAGTCCTGAGTCAGCAGGCCCAGTGATCTCTCTCTCTCGAAGTGTTTGGTTGTCTCTGAGAAGTTACTTCAACTCTGCCTTCTATTGCTTCTGTAATGTATGTGGCTAATTTTGTAGCACAAGTGCATGTGGAAGATTATTGAGCCAAATCTGTCCTTGGTCTAGGGTATATTCCTGTTCGCCTACTCCCACCTGATCTTCTTAACCTGTCTGTGCATTTACCCGCAGCCTGGTGTTTGGTGTTAGTGGAAATGCAGTGTTGTGCATGTGCTAGTATTTGTCTCTGTTGTCTGTATCTTATGTGCACGTTTAGTATCCTTCCCTTCCCCTATGTCATCATGCTGGTCACAGACTCTTTCCATACCATTTCTTAACTGAATTGTTTGTCTTTTTGATGTTGCTGTGTTAAAGTTTTCTATAAATTTGAAAGATAGGTCCGTCAGATAGGTCATGGCCAAATATTTTTTTCCAAATCTGTAAGTTCTTTTTACACTTTTGGAGAAATCTTTTGATGCACATAAGGATTTAATTTTTAGAAAGTCCCAGTAATCTAGTTTATCTTCTACTGTTTGCATTTTTGGTTATGTGTGATAGTATATTTATGCTATACATTGGAGTACTTAATTTCCCCCATTTTTTCTTTGATGATCTTTATAGTTTTAGGTTTTATGGTTAGGTCTTTGATTCATCTTGAGTTAGTTTTTGTATATGGTGTGAGGTATGGATCTTTTTCATTTTTCTGCAAATGAATATCTAGTTTGCTACTACCATTTGTTAAAGAGATTATCTTTTCCCCATTTAATGGATTCTAGCCCTTTGTCGAAGATCAGCTGTCCATCAGTGGATGGGTCTATTTCTGGATTCCCAGTTCCGTTCCATTGGTCTATATGTCTTTTGTTGTATTAGTACTGGGATGTTCTAACAACTGTGGCTGAAATATGAGTTCTCCTACTGTATTATTTTTCAATAGTACTTGCTTATCTGAGATTTCTTTCCTTTCCATATAAACTTAGTGATTGGTTTTTCATCTCCAAAATGTTGATGGAATCTGGATTGGAATTGTATTGTATCTATGGATTGATTTGGGTAATATTGACATTTTTACATTGTTCAACCTTTCTGTCTGTGAGCATGGATTTATTGATATTTTCAAGGATATTAATTGAAATGTATTTATTTGTGGTAGATAACATACTTTGTATTATTTCATTTCATTTAAATTTATTGCCTAAAATATGGTGTATGTGGGGGAATGTTCCATGCATACTTGAAAAGAATGTATATTCTATTACTCAAATTTCCAATTTCCCTGTAGTATTATTTCCCTCTATCTTGAAAAACGTCGTGTATCATATTTCTTTTAGAGTAGTTCTATTGACAAGAAATTTGACATAGAATGAATTGTGTATCATCTAATTGTGAATTTGAAGACTTTGAATGTTGTGTTGTGCAGACTCTGAGTTTCATTATAATCCTGTGGAGAAAGTGATTTTTTAATTTTTTTTTAATTGTACAGGGAATCAACCTGTTTAGGTTCAGACTACAAATCCTTTTTCACCTTTCCTATACAAATCACTTCTCTAAATTTTTATTCACTTCTGCCTATTTGCAGAGTTCTCAGATAGTTAGTTGCTTTTTTGAATTTTGTTCAGAGTTTTTAGTTGTATTTAGCGGGAGAAAAAGGCTGTAGTGTGCTTATTACTTCATGCTGCCAGGTATCATAGGTCACTGTTTGTGTTGTCCCACAACTTAGATGCAGTTGTTGCTTTATACCGTCAGTATCTAGATTTATCCACATATTGACCAAAACAAGTTTTCTGATACTCTAATCCTTTTTGTATTTTAAGCTTTTCTTCTAGAATCATTTTTTTCTGCTTTTCCCAGGACATCCTTTAGACGTTCTCTTTACTGATGATCTATTGGGAATAGACTGTTTTTATTTGTCTTTATTTAATAAAATGTTGCTTTTGTTCATGAAAGATAGTTTTGTTGAAAATCTGGGTAGACAAATCATTTTTATATCATTACTTTGAAGATAACATTCCACTGCTTTCTGGCTTCTCTTATTTCTACTTGACAAGGTGTACTTGCCAGATTAACCATTGTTCTCTTATAGGTAATACATCTTTCTTCTTTGGAAGCATTTTAAGATCACTTTTGCAATTTTGATGTTCATTTTATTACTCCTTCTTATGATTCATTGGTCTTCTTGAATCTTAGTATTTCCTCAATTCTATAAAATTTTCAGCCTTCATCTCATGAAATAATTCCTTTCTATTGTTTTCTATTATATCCTCCTGGACTCTGATTAGGTATTGGTTGAACATTGTCACTCTCATTTATTAAATGGGGTAATAAATAATAGTACCTGCCTGGTAGGTTATAGTGTGGATTAAATGAAATAATACAAGGACTCAATAAATTACTGCTGCTGCTTTTATTATTGTTTTTGTTATCATTGGTATTTTTATTGAAGCAGGACCCCATTCCTCAGCTGGAAGACATAGCATTTAGAAGGAAGGGGGTTAGCAAGAACTAGGTGGGAATCAGGATCCCAGATAGGCTGATGAGGTTCAAAACAGGAAATTAAAATAAAAGCCTAATTATATGGCCTGGACCAACATATAAAACAGAGAAAGCTGAAGGTCAGTAGGCACAAAGGTGTCTAATCCCAGGTGTGTTTTACACTAGGTTTATGGCTGCCAGGCTTTCTCCACTGCAAATTATCTGTGGAGATGGGACTTGAAATAAAGTTGTGGTATACTTAGTTCACAAAGACCTAGTACTTGCCAAAGCCAAGGCTGCTAGTTAGAGACTTTGGGTCCCTGTGCTGCATGGAACTAAAATAAGCAAGGATTCAGTATTGTAGTGGTAGTGGAAAGTCAAATTGGGTTAGATTGAAATGTATAATAATACTTATAGTTCATAAAAACCAATGTTCCACTTCATGGAATTTAACATAAGGAAATAATGAATGGGCACAATGATATACTTAAAAATTTAATCACGTGGTGTTTCAAATAATATAAGAATAAAATCAGTCTAAATTTCCAACAATAGAGAATTGATTGATTCAATTTATAAGACATTTTTATAGTATGAAGCTTTGACCTTGGTTAAAATTATGTGGAAATGTATTCCTTGAGTGGAAAACATATTTACTCTATAGGGTTAGATGAGTCAGACCGGACTTGACGGCAACAAATTTGTACAGTTAAGTTGTAAAAAAATTCCAAACTCACTGCCGTTGAGTCAGATCCAACTCATAGCAACCCCTTCTTGGGTTTCTGAGGTGGTATCACTATGGCAGTAGGTTGCTCAGTCTTCCTTCTGAGGAGTGGCTGGTTGGTTTGAACTGCCAGTCTTCTGGTTTGCAGTCAGATGCCTTAGGCACTACGCCATCAGAACTCCTAAGCTGTAAAAGCAGATGAAAATGTTAGTCATATTTTGTAGCACAAAACCTCATGTCTGTATCTATTCATATTTATATCTATTTATTAGAAGAGGAGGATTTGGGAGAATATTTACTAAAGTATTAATAGTGATTGTTCTCATACAAGAGCAATCTAATGCCTTCTTCATTTCTGTACTGAACGTTTATTGCTTTTGTAGTAAGAAAAAATATTATATCTTAATTTTAAAATGCAGGCAATAAAATAAATAGTTTGACATTAGATTATAAATAGAGACTGTCACTACATCACTTTATCATAGACTTTTTCTGGTTTTTTTTTTCTAATTCAGATAATTTTAGTGGTAACTTGTTCTTTTAAATTCCTGCTGCTATTTTAAATCTAATCCTTTTTTACTTATTTCTTTAGGTCATTGTGTCAATGAGTATAGCATTTGCTCAACAGACTGAACTGTCTAGAATGTCTGGGGAAAAAGAAGATACCACACCGTCAAAACAGCCTCATGTTCTCTGTCAGCAAGAAGGACAAAATTTTTTAAATGAAATAAAATTATCACAAGATCAAATTGATTTTCAGACTTTTGAGAAAACAAACATATTTAAAGAAGAATTTAAACCACTTAGTAAAGAGTTAGAAGACGGAAAGCAAGTTCCATTATCAAATAATAGTAATCTTGATGAAATCCTGCAATCAAAGGACCATGAACTGACTATTTCAGAAGAAATATTCTCCAAAGATAAAACATTTATATTTGGAGAATCTGTGAGTATACCTTTCATGAATATAAAATACTTATAAAAAGTTGTGGCTTCCTTCATTATAAAAATATTAGCAATAAGAGTCAGATCCGACTCTTTGGCAGTGAGTTTGGGTTTTTTTTTGTTTGTTTGTTTTGTTTGTGTAATGCTGCTTAATAGAGAAGGAGAAAAATATCAAGTTAAATCTTGACTCACGGTTCACTTTGATGTACTTTATTAATCATAAGGTATATGAATATGTGATTTAATTTTACCATTAAAATTTAAGTCATTATGCATTGTGCATAGTAAAACTTCATTTTAATTTATGCTTACATTAATTTTGTTTCAACCAATTCAAGATTAATTATACTACAATTTGGCAGTATCTATAAGTAAAAGATTTGCTAGATTAAATGTGCAAGAAAATAGTTTAAATCATTTTACTGTCTTTGTACCAATTTCCTTATTCTTTAATGGAGGATCTGTTCTGTGTCTATACTTAAAATTTATTGTTGCTTTTAACAGACATAATAAACCTTACTTTTAAAGTTACCTAAATTCAAATTTTTATTATCATGTTTGATAGGTTATGGCTTGTTCATCAGCATATTCAAATAAAATTGTCAGTATTTTTTTTATGAAATTAAAAATAGGTGAAGTATACATGAAAACTGTCTTTATCAGAATCTGTTTAAGGCAAAATGAGTCATGTAAGTCGTACCTCTTCATGAATTGAAAGTGTTCCTTGAAACCCATTAAGGAGTTGACTTCTTGTGAGTGTAAGAAATTAGAATCAGAAATTTTTATTTCCGAATAAAATTTATTGAGAATTGCTTTTTGTCAAGCAGTTCTCTTTAATACTGAAAGGTTTGGTGCTGTCTATAGCATCACTATGAGTGAGAATCAACTCAACAGCAGTGGGTAATAATAACTACATAATATAAATGAACTGGAAAAATTTTACATGTTTTATAAATTTAATTTTAAAATATAAATATTTTATCCATATTATTTCTCCACCATGAAGTGTCAAGAGGAATCTTTTTTTTGTCTTCATTAGAATTAAATCACATCTAAATTAACAATGCTGAAAAAATAGCTATTGGAAAATAACATGTATAATGGTAATTAACTTCATGTTGATGTGGAACTATAATTAAGAAAATAACTTAAAAATTACCTGTGTTTTAGTTTAATAATGGACATGAAAAATCAGGGACTATGTGGAGTTAGTAGTAGAACTGCTTTCATATTTATTTTAAATTACTAGTGCTGGTAGATTTTCTCAAAATGTGTTATGGTTGATTTTTATTTATTATAGATCCATGATGAGATTTTGGTGTCAAACATGGATGCTTCTAGACAGCTAATGTTAAATGAAGAACAGTTGGAAGATATGAGGCAGGAGCTTGTAAGGCAGTACCAAGAACATCAACAAGCAACAGAGCTGTTAAGGCAGGCACACATGCACCAAATGGAGAGACAGCGAGAAGACCAGGAACAACTACAAGAAGAGATTAAGAGACTTAATAGGCAATTAGCCCAGGTATGGGGCTAGTAGTTCCACCTTCCCCTACTTAAAGTGGAAGTATTCTTTATTTAGCTTTAAAAACAAAATGTCAAAATTATTATGCCAAGATCTGAATAAGCAACAAATATTTAATATCAGGAACAGACTCCAGCAGTACAACAGCCTTAGGTCTTGTTAGGGACACCTAACTCAACCTTGGGGTGCGTTCTCTTCTTATCATTCTACTTAGCTGCCTTTTCAATCACTGGAGAAGGGGCTGCAGGGTGGCTGTTTGATTTGTTTTTTAATCATTCTGTTGACCATACATGGCAAAAACACTTGACAAGTTTGGAAATACTTCATGCTGAGGTGTTCCAGTATGCAGTTGATGCCATTCATTTTTCTCATTGATTTATAGTGTTGTGAGTCTACCAGTAAACCAAGGTTAACCTTTCTCTGTCTTTAATCTATCTTTTTAATCAGGGATGGAAATCTTGTGAAGGAGTATGTTTCTGGAAATATCTCCAGGGAAACATCTCTTCTTAATTTTAAACATGCAAATTTATATAACGTTCTTACTCCTTTTCTGAACTAAATTTAAATCTTTGGTATTTGGAAGCTGGATTCTTGATAGTTATCATATGCATTGTACTCACAAAATCATTACAGAAAAGCAAGAAATATTTATGTGAAAGTTCTTTAAAAAACAAATTTATTGAATATAATTTTGAAAACTGAAGCTAAAAGAGAGAGCTCTTAAAATATATTCTTTCAAATATATTTTAATAGGAAAATTGAGACTTGAGCATAAAATATTCACACAGTATAATTTTTTGGAAAATATAATTTTGCTTTTCCTCATTGCATTTTGTGAATTCAAATTTCTGAAATTTCAATGCAAAATTGGCATATAATGGGAATACTAAATGAGCTGCACAAATTTCTGAATATTTAGTTGTAATTTTCTTTTTTAAGTTTCAAATTTTGCATTGAATTTTACATATGCTTTTAACCCCTTATTATGGGACATGGATCATAGATAGAATCAGGACCTTTTAGTCCCAAGGGGTTAAAAGATCTAGTATTTCTGCTTTTTTCCTCTGTCGCAAACAATATTCTCTCATGACCTTTTTTCTTATTTAGAGATCCTCAATAGATAATGAAAACCTGGTTTCAGAGAGAGAGAGGGTGCTTTTAGAGGAGCTGGAAGCCCTAAAGCAGCTGTCTTTAGCTGGAAGAGAGAAGCTGTGTTGTGAGCTGCGCAACAGCAGTACGCAAACACAGGTAGTATGGACTTTGGCACACCTAGGAGCAATGGATCAACAATGCAGTACTATTTGTTTGTCTTTGTTGGTGGTGTGAGATGTATTTTTTGTAGATACTGAGCTTAACATGTTTGTGATTGCTTACATGTAAGGTAGGTGGAGGCAAAATACCTTATTACATTCTGTGAAGGTATTTCAAATATAACATTGCTATGGCAGCAGCAGTTGTTCCACTAAGGAGCAATGTAACAAACTTTATTGTAGCACTATAGCATGCAATAGGTTGAGTCCAGTCAGTTTTTTTATTTGTATGCTAGAATGTTTTATCTTTTATTGATAATGCTGATCTCTTATTTAGTTAAATATTATTTCAGGCATTACCTAGATTGTGCACAAAGGTTTCTGTTTTACCTCAGTAAAAATATAGAGGATGACATGCTGTTTCCAGGATGACAGGTTTCCTTTCTGTCTTGTCCTCTCTACCTTTACACGTACTTAAACAGAATGGGAATGAGAACCACGGGGAAGTTGAAGAACAGACCTTTAAAGAAAAGGAATTGGACAGAAAACCGGAAGATGTGCCTCCTGATATTCTGTCCAATGAAAGGTATACAGAATGTGTACTTTTTCGGCACAAAGTGAATTAAAATGGTTGTTTTGATGTATTAAACTGTGTGTGCTTATTGTTATCTTGTGCATTTGTACTTCATCTTCAAAATCTTTACTATTTGTTTATGAAACATGCCCATCTATGTGTAATATGTAAAGGGTGATCAGTTTTTAATGATTAAAATAGACAAACAAATTTTAAAAGATCTTTTGAATATAAAATAATTTTTGATTGCATATATTGATCATATACTTAAAACAGTAAGTAATAAGGCATCACTTTGATGTTGAACCTTTCTTAATCTTACTGTTCTCCTATCCTAAGAAACATAATTATACTTCTGAGATTATTCCTTCACTGCATGGACATCCATTCAGTATAACCTACCCCCTAGTTTGTTTATGCTAAGGAAAAAGTTACTATAAATGTGAATTTTCCACATTTAACATTTGTCATACATTTACTGCATAGCAGAGGAGAACTTTTAATCCAGTGTTTTTTTAGAGGAAAAATATTCATCATCTGATAGCAGAGCTTTTCCTTTCTTTGATTTTATAGGGTTAATAAAAAATATAAAATAGTAAATGAGAATAGTTATCCCATATTAATATAAGCACAGTATTTTAAAATTTGTTTTGTTCAAATGAAAATAATTTTTTTAATTTTAAAATAAAACTAATTTTCTACTAACTTAATTTCCTCCTTTTCCAATTTCTGTGATTGTCCACCCTCTTGTGTCCTCCTAAACTCCTTCCTCAGCTTGCATGGAGGAATTTGGCCCCTAAGATTTTGGCTTCCCCATTGGATCATCAGTATGGAACACAGTCAGTATGGAACTCAAACAAGAAAGACAGTGTATGAAAATTAGAGTTGCCATGGCAACATAAAATAAACATGCTGTTTATTTTATATTATTTATCTCTAATTGGTATGTTTTAAAAGTTATATAGTATTTAAGTTTTAGGAGTTTTCCTAGTGAATGTTGACAAAATAAGTATTTGTGGGTTTTTTTTTTTTTTTTTTTTTTACTGTTATATTCATGTTAATCATTTCTTATAAGTAGAAATATTTTCAAATTGCCTAGACCTGGGGTTTGGGGCTAGAACCAAACTTAAGAAAACATTAAGGAAATAAAACCCTAAATTTATTTCCTAACTCAGTTACTTAGAGTTTTATTTTTAATATCCTTGCTTATGAAACCAGATAATTTGATCTAGGTACAAAAATAGAACTGTGTCTTTCACTTGGCAAATACTAAAGGAAAGCCTCTCCATTTATTACTGTCTTAAAATAGGTATGTCATGAACCTTTGAAAATTGATACCCTTTAACCTGATTATTGGTGATCTCTGACAATGTGAAGTTGAGACAGAAACTACTCTGCGACAGAGGACCATTACCATGGAAGTCTTATTTTGTCTACGTGAATTAAATATAAAGTTTACCACTGTAGTTAGTTAGTGTCTTTATTTAATTGTGCTATTTGGAAGAGAGAGCTGTATAGTTACTCAGAGGATTAATCTTCTGAATCATCATTTGTAGAAGTGTATTTCTTGACATGGAAAGATTTCATGTTAAGTGAAAAAGAAAGCTTACAAAAGATTTTGTCTAGGATAATCTCATTTTTGTTTTAATATGTATACATTATTAAAGAGACTGGTTTTGGGGGTAAGTCTAGGATAAGATTAAAATGCTGATTATCTCTGGGTGCTGAGATTTTTAGAGGCTGGTTAGCAGTGTTTTCTGATTTTTAAAAAATGAGAATAACAACTTATATTTTGAAAAGAGAGACCCACAATAATTCCATTAGATGAGAGAGACTTTCTACTAACTGAAATGAACATGATGTATGTAACTTGAGAAACTTCTGTTACTGGAACAGATGTAATAGAAAACAGTCCGTGATATTCCCGCTGGTGTGTGAAGATAGTAAATTCCACTGTAGACCCTTTTTAAAACAGAGTTCTATTGGTCTATTACTTTTTGTTACTTAGACATCTAGATCATTCCCATTAAGTTGTAGAAATACTATCACACTTTTTTTGTGGTGGAATTTTTAAACTATACTTTAAAATGTGTTGCTTGCCATAAAAGATTAAAAGTAAAAATATATGTATATGTACATATGTACATATATATTATCATCAATAATATATGATATATAATTATGATACATAATTATAGTAAATGGTAATATAATTAATACTCATGAAAAGTATTACTAGTTTAATAACTTAATTTGCTTGTGTGCCACCATACTTCTTAAATTCATATTTTGCTTTTCCTTAACATTTTATTCTAGTCTAGAAATTCTACTGGCTTAAATTATCTGACGTCTTTCCGTTCAGTAAAATGATACATGTTTTTTAAAAAATCTTATAGTTCACTGACCAAATTTTTTCAGAAGAAAACAAATCCTTTTACAATATAATTATTCAAAAAAACAAAAAAACCCTTCATTGTAGGTACTCTTGCCTATTATTTTAGTAGAGCATCATATATTTTTATTTTTCAAAGTAGATATCCTGTAGTATATTTTTTGTGGGGCAAAAGCAAAGCGTTTACTAAAAAAGGTTAAAACACCTAATAACTGTGTCTCTCTGTACAGGTATGCACTACAGAAAGCTAATAACAGACTTCTAAAGATCCTCTTAGAAGTTGTAAAGACAACAGCAGCTGTTGAAGAAACAATTGGTCGCCATGTTCTTGGCATTCTCGATAGATCTAGTAAAGGACAGTCATCTGCCTGCCTGATTTGGAGGTCAGAGGCAGAAGCACCTATCAAGTCATGTGTCCATGAGGAACACACAGGAGGTATTAGTTTTATATGCTGTTGAAAGTGTCATCATTATTTTCACCAGATCTTGCTGAATTCAAGGCACTTCTCTATGTGTAGAAAATAAAAGAGAGCATATTAAAGTATTTTACCACAAAAGAACCTCCAAACACAAAAATACATTGGAGGCACTCTTCTCAAATCACCATTAATTAAGTAGCCTTGACAAGTGGGTTGTCATCATACATACATACTTATCATCATACATACTTTGGTTACTAATATGCATATATAAACCAGAAGGCTGATTCATTTCTCTACCAATAAAAGAAAAATTTCACATGACCACTCATGACTGTTATCAGTATCTATAAGGCAGTATCCTGAAACCATCCTATAAATAAGGAAAGTTTAGAAATTGAGAGTTTTTAAGAATGAAACATCAGTTTCACATACCTGTTGGTGTGGTTAGAAGACAGTCTTTCTAAGAACCCCAGCGTTTGATCTTACCTTTGGATTGTCCTCTGCTAGGTCCCTTTCTTCCTTTGGAAAAGTTATTTGAAATAGGACAGAATGTTTGTGGATCTAGAGTTTAGCTCCTAACATGATGTAACCACCTTCCTTCCTCCAGCCTTATAGCTGAACCCTTATTTTGTTGTCGCATTGCTAAGCTCCAGGCACTTTGTCTTTTCACTAATTTTGCTTGCTAGAGAGAGAATCAGGAAACCAAAAGGCAGAAACGTTTTTGTTGGATGGAGAAAGATAGGCTATGAACTCTTGAGTCAGAGGATCAGGCCTATAGTTCACTCCACTCCACAGCCAGACACTTCTTTCAGTTAGGAGACCCTCTAAAATGCCAATAATTTATCATTTTTTGAGAGCATTCTGTTAACAACAGACGTTAAGTTAAGCATTCAGTGTGGGCAAATGAGAAGAAGTTATGCCACTTACAGAAGATCTGCTCATTTACAAGTTGGCCAGTAGCATGTTTCTAAGTGCAGAGAAAATCTTGATTTGGAATTTTAAGTAAAATTGACTTAAAGACACCTCAGTTGAGTTTGAAGACAAGTTTAAAAATTGATTTTTAGTAAAATAAGAACTGAAGTAATGCTGTGTTTACCTTTTGAAACTTGGTAGAAGTATTTTTCTCAGATCAGCTTTTTTCTTGATTAACCTCTTACTCAAGGGCTATTTTATTGCTTCATATAATCTTGATGTATTGAGAAGAATAAGGTCATATTTTCTTGTTCTCAGTGTGGAAGGTGTTTATCAAATTATGCTTTTTGAAAAAAAAAAAAGATTATTGCATAAACTTGTTTCACATAACTACCTAAGCAGGGATTTTGTTCTTCTGGTCATACTTAGTTTAGGTTGACTCCCATATTCTCAAGCTACTGGGAGAAAATATTAAATGCTTCTCTTAGACATGTCTCAAAAGAGGTTACTGAAGTATTTGGTAACCCAGCCTAAAACAGAAAACTCACTTCTAGTGTTCCCATAGTTACAGAAAGAAATAGATTGGTAACTTACATACAGAGGTTTATGGTTATGTACATTTTCTCTGAGGTGACCTAGAAGGACGCCTGATCCATTAGCCTACATTCTGAAATAGTTAAATCTAACTCTTCCAATATGGATGAAAGATTTTTGTATACTATTTTAAGATGTCAAGTAATAGTATTTCAGCTGTAACTAATGTTCTAAGTTCAATTCTGCAAACACTTACTGACAAGTTGCTCTGTGTTCTCTGATTTACATAGCGATTCATAGTCTTGTGAGGGGACACTAAGAATCTTATTTAAGGCAAGATAGTCTTAGCATTTATTATTTTATTTTAAATCACTTTATGTATTTGAATCAGCTAATAGGCTTTTAAAATCTTAGCCTTTCAAATATTTTAACTGTTGACTGATTCTGAAAGGATAATACTAAGATTCAAGAAGAAAAATTAAGTTCACAGTTAAGAAATATACTATATACAACATTATAGCAGAAATAAGAATTTTGCTAGTATTAGTATCATTGATTTAATTACTCTTTTGGTGGCCAGCAACAATGTGCTAGTCTTATTGATAAAACTAGGATAACCCCTAGTGTCATTAGGAAAACTTATCAGGTCCATTTTGCGTTTTGAAGGATATATTGAAGTCATAGAATTTATAATACAAAAGCCTTCAGTTTTCTTATAAACCTAGAAGAAAATATTGACTTTAAACCATTAACACTGTGTTCCCTATGGAAGGGTTTTTTTTCTGATAGTCCTTAATATTTTTAAGAACCATTATTGTAGAAACTAAAACGCACTCCAAAAATTCTTCTTTGATGTCTTATTTAGTATGAGAGAAAAAAAATTAAATTTTAATCTGATTGTGAAACAACTTTTCAGTTTTTAATATATAGCTTTGTGTTGTAACACTTGGTATCTATTTTTAGGCTTCAAGTCTGAACTTGTAGATTTTAAACATGTATGAACTTGTTGCCTCTCTAAAAAAACAAATAATTGATTTACTAATGTTTGTTTCCTCATGACAGTAATCTGCTTTATGGAACTGAAGGGAATTTTTGAGTCCTGTGAAATCACTCAAATCTGTGTGCATTTTAGACTCAGTTCATAAGATGAGTTCCCTAAGATCTGTTGGAAGAAAATTTTTTCCAGGCCTGCACTGTGATCGTTCAGTGTTAGAATGGCACCTTTCCTGTGGAAGACCAGGGGCTGAATCTCATTTATCGCAGTTTCCTTCTGGAGCAATGTGATGTTACAGAGAGAATGCTGGGTTAGTCCTTTGGAGGCCATAGTTCTTGTTCTGGCTCCCCATGACCTTGGGCAAATCTCTCCCAGGGCTTCAGTTCAGTTTTCTCATCTGTCAGGTATGGGGGTCAGACCAGAGTCAGTGATTTTCAGTTGGAGTCCTGGGAATTGTTAGAGAACCATATTGCCTGTCATGCTTTAACCTGAGTAGCATGTGATTATCCTGGAATGAAGTCATGAATATAATTAATGAAGTAAATTATTTTAAAATTTGAGATCATTCACAGCTTAGCTCCAGCCTACCTCCCAGCTCCTTCTTTTATGTGTCTCCCCTACCATATCCCTGTTTCTCCACCTACTTCCCACTCCAGAAAGCCTTGGGTTCCCAGCACATCAGACTATTTTCTGTACCCATAAGAAAGAAAATGTGACTAGAATGTGTTTAGTTCCTCAGGTAGAAATACTATGTGATTCAGGTATTTTTAAGCACCCACTAAAAAGCTATTAGTATTTCTTGCTTCCATAGCTTTCTCAAACGTATCATTAATTTTCTAGACCACATCAATTTGATTTAGTAACTTTGCAACATACTTTGGACTGTACTCTGTGTTTCTGAATCACTCTGAATTCTAAGGTCATTTTGAATTTAGAAATATTTAGAAAATATTAATCCCTGTTAGGAAATATTTAGAAAGTATTAATCCCTATTATCAGAGCATTCAGTTTTGAACACTTGGGATAATATAAGTAAATATTTTTTAACTTTGGAAATAAAAATAAGAATTGAAAGTTTTATTAACTGTTACATTAAGAATCGGGCTTATGTAATAGCAAACATTTAAAGTAATTTCCTGTGATACAGTTTTGGATTCTTCAACCAATGATTTATACAGAGGAGATGTTTAATGAATATTGAACTGTTCTGAATTCAGACCTTGTATCTGAAGCTGCATCTCATACATGAGATTGAGACAATTCCACGTGGCACTGGCTACTTTAGCAAAATAAATTTTAATAAATGGCTCTTATTCTCCTGGGTAACTATGACAAACTGAATGTTTATTCTAAGTACTTTGAAAATTAAAGTTTCATCTTTTTTAGATTATTAGCTTCGAACAGTTGGTGACAGCTAATATGTATTAAATACAGTAATGAATATGCTATTCCTTTTCAGGTGATTTCATTGTTAGATTATAACATGCAACCTTGGTTGAATTGTATTTTATGGCAGTGGTGAATAACATGCTTTTGTTTCAGTAACCTCAGTTTTCTTTACATGAGAATTAAGACTAGATCAACCCATAGTTAATTTAGAACTGCTTATCAGTCTTACCTCTTCCCAGTATACCTCTTTAAAAACTAGCAAACTGTAAAATGATCTCACTCCTCTTTACTGTCTACCCAGAGCAGGTGATGCAGCTTGGTGTAGTGCTTGCAAATCAGAGGGTCTGCTGCAGACAAATCCAGGCCTTTCTTCCACCCTCCCTTGTATTCTCTGTACAGTGTTTCCCTTTTCGTGCAGTTGTTTTATATATTTATTTTCTCGTTACACTATAACGTCCTTGAGATGAGAAACAATTATCTTGTCACTTATGTGTCCCCATTAGGTAGCAAATCCTACATGATGGGCAGTTACTAAGTATCTGTTGAAGGTTGTCATGGAAGAAAAAATACTAAACGACTGAAACATTAATTTCTGTAAAGGTCTATTGGTAAAGCATTATCCTTCTCATTCTTACCTGCTCAGTTATTGAGTAGCTTTATGTTCTGTATTTCACATATTTTATCATGAATCATAATCCACTTTGTTTCATTGCAGTGTTGTTTTATAAAACCTTATAGTTTTAATGATTTTATGTTTTAGTTTGATTTTATTTTGTGACTTTTTAAAACTATATTAATTAGAATTTATGCCTTTACAACAATGTTATTTTAGTTACAGATGAATCCATAACCTCTTATTCTGGAAGCGATATGCCAAGAAATGACAATAGCATGTGGTCAAAAGTAACTGAGGAAGGAACAGAGTTGTCACAGCGGCTTGTGAGGAGTGGTTTAACTGGAACAGAAATAGATCCTGAAAATGAAGAACTTATGCTGAATGTTAGTTCTCGGCTACAAGCGGCAGTTGAAAAACTTTTAGAAGCCATAAGTGAAACTAGTACTCAGGTAACCTCCTGATATTTCTTGGATATACTGAATTTGAAGTTGGTTTTCTTTTAAGCAGTAGAATGATGAAAAATCTTTTTTCTCTATTTGTCCCCTTTAATAATTGGTTTCTTTGGGACAACCAACACTGATACCGTTCATCTTCTCAGGTAGTAAGAGTTAATGTACACTGAGGGGCTATCCTAGTTCTAAAATTGAGTGTTGTTTTAATTTTTTGATTTTCTAGACTCTCACATGTTACTTTTAATACCCAAAGAGATCACAATTGCACCATGATATGAAATAATACATTAATATAAAAAAATATAAAATACAAAACATATCTAAAGCAAACCATATTCTCTAATATGTCATAACACACACAGTGCTATTACAGTTTAATACAAATAAAACTTATAATTCCTTTGCATTATTTTTATAAACTTTCCACAAATATGAATAGATTACTTCACTTCACAATCCCTTGAGTAGAAATTAGAATGTGAACAGTTTCTACTTTAAAGTGCTATTTTTTATAAAACCTTAAAAATATTTATAACAAATTGCAATTTCCTGTTTCTATAAAATTTTATACTGTGTATCATAATTGTCTCTTAAATTGCTATATTCAGAATTTTAAAATGCAGTAAATTCACTTACTTACTTAAAAATGTTTAACCTAGAACAGCTGTAGAATCATAACTGTCATGTTAATCAAATGAATCCTGGTCATCAGCTACAAGGTCATTAGCATTAGCATTATTTTGGTATCTTTATTCAGAGTTCCCAAAGCCCAGGTATTCCACAGTGTGGAAAAGCAAAAGTTGAGTAGTTCAAAGGGTGCCTTTGATCTCTTATTTCTGTTATCTGCCTTTTACTGATGCTACTTCTTTTCTATAAGAATTCATTTAGTATGGTATGCTTCTGCAAGAATAATGACTTGTTAGCAAATTTGAAACATATTGTTATATATTTGGTAGTTTAATACCATATTCATTTAAGTCAGGTTAATAGGCCATTTCTTGAGTCATCTCTTGGCTAGTGACACTTGAAATAATTTGTTACACACTGTGGTGGTTACATTTGTGTGTCAGCTTGACTGGGTTTGGTTAAGTGGCTGGGCAGCTGAATGTAGTTATTCCCCATGGTGAGATTAGTAATTAACTCCGTGGTGGAATCTATTGCAACAGCTGAGTAGCTGCTTTGGCTATGTGGTTTGCTTCCCATATATAAGAAGCAGCTTTGGGAATGGTCTCTAGCTTATGGCACACTTGCACCCTTCATGTAGCTGTGTTGTTGTTCAGCAGCCTGCCATGCTCTGCCAACCTTGGGACTTACAATGGACTTGAATTAATGGCCTGCCATGTGGTTTGGTAACGTTGAGACTGTGCTGTTTTGTTTGTTGACCTTGGCTTGTTAGCCTCAGCAGCCAGTCGCTGCCTGAGTGAAGAGATGCCTCTAGTTTTAGTGGGCCGGGAGCAAGAGACAGAGCTAAAGCCCAAGGTCAAGGGGCTTTCACCCAGCCCCTAGAGCCTGGCACTTCAAACTTGGACTTAAAGCCTCCAAACTAAGAGAATAAACTCCTGTTTGTTAAGGCCATCCCATTTGTGGTATATTTCCTGTGATAGCAGTACTAGGTAACCAGAACAAACACGTACTACTTGGTTAACTTATTACCAATCTACTATTCTTTTTTTTCCTCTTTGTAACTTGATATTGGGATTTAATGAGGAAGACATTATCAAAATAACATATTTCCTGTGAAATAATTGCCATCCAAAGAAAAGTCTTCAGACAAAATACTTAACCACAGTTTTACCCAGGTTCATTCTTTGTTTGGGGACAGTTTAAATCCTCTTTCATGATATAGTATGAACTGTAAGAGCAATACCAAACCAAAAAAAACCAAACCCACTGCCACGTAGTCGGATCTGACTCATAGCAACCCCTCGTTGGGTTTCCGAGGAGTATCACCATGGAAGTAGATTGCCCAACCTTCCTTCCGAGGAGTGGCTGGTGGGTATGAACAGCCAGCCTTCTGGTTAGCAGTCAAGTGCCTTAGGCACTACGCCACCAGATCTCCTGTAGAGCAATAGAATCCTGAAATTACCACACAGTGCAACTAATTAGCCAGGGAAATGCCCTACACTATTATTATGCTTCTGCATTATATCTTTATAGACTGGCCAAACTAAAGTATTAGTACACAGTTAAATAGGGCTCAGAAATTTTTCCATACATACATTCTTAAGTTGTAATATGATTTATAGTTTATTTAACAGAAGCAGTTGCAGTCCTTGGGCAATTCTTATTTTCTAAAACTTTCTTTCACTGCAGGTATAAAATGATTGAAAACCTTTTGCTTTAGTAGCTCAAAATTTTTCTTAAGCATCATAAAGAACCAGAAGTGTAGTATTCAAAAAAATTCTTTCTGTGTTTGCCAATAGCAAAAGGATGACTGTCTTAGTCACCCAGTCCTACTGTGACAGAAATACAAGTAAGTGACTTTAAAGAACAGAAATTTATTTTCTTACAGTTCAAGAAGCTAAAAAAAGAAACACACTGCCATAAAAAAAGAAACACACGACTCATAGTGACCCCTCCTTGGGATGAGTAGGGTGCAACTTGATGGCACATAACGACAACAACAACAACAACAACATCCGTACAGAAGTAGATTGCCCAACCTTCCTTCCGAGGAGTGGCTGGTGGGTTTGAACCGCCAGCCTTGTGGTTATCAGTCTAATGCCTTAGGCACTATGCCACTAGAGTTCCTATTCAAGAGGCTAGAAGTCCAAATTCAGATTTGGGCTCCAGGAAGAGGTCCTTCCTAGTCTATTTCTGCTTCTAGTATCTGCCATCAGTCCTCGGCTTTCCTGGCCTTGTGATACATCTGTTTCCATTATCCCCCTGTGTTCCTCTTCCCTCAGTGTGTTCATCTCTGTTGGTTTTTTATACCTTAGAAGTGATTAGGTTTAGGGTCCACCCTATAGTGGTATTGCCTCATTAATGTACAAAAGATACATGTTTCCAAACAGGGTCATGTTTACAGGTACAGGAGGTAGGATTTCAACAGGTATTTTGGGGGGACACAGTTCAGTCCATAACATTGATCTTAAGCTCATATGACTGTGGGTGTCCCATCTTTAACTAAAACAATGAGTTATTTTTATTGCCAGCAGCCTTACGTGCTCATAAGGAAATGCCACCATAAAAAAATCAGCTTCATTTGTGCCATTAATTTAACAACATATTAAATTATACTCTTGGATCAAAAAATTTTATTTCAGTCTCAGGGTCAGTAGGTATTTAAACTCGAGCATTGAAATATGTAATATTTTGAATTCTGTAGCTACTATAAGGAAATTCACATTTTCCAGGAAGATTTACCACTTGTTAAAGTCTTTGCTTTTCTAGTTAAGCATTTTAGAAGGCTTAATCTTAAGCCACATTTCTATTATGCTGCCCACTGAGTTACCTGAGCCAATTTAGGCATTTTCAGTTGTTTCTTTTCAGCACTGTTAAAGCTAAATGCATATTGTCATTATTATCCCTTTGAATCTGTGGAAGTTATATAGTATGGATGATTCTATCTTAAATTGCTACATGATCCTGCCTCTTTTTAAAAATATTTTTTGCATCTTTCAGCCATATTTGTAATTTGTACTTTCTTATGTGTCATGAAAACTACTAATGTTTTTCTTCTCTAGATAATATTAAATACTTTTGACTTGGATCTTGGCCAGGTTAATAACTATTGCTAACTACTTGATGTCATTCTAAATTATGACAGACTAATTACTGCAATGTAGTATTTATCTCCTGACATACACTATGGGAAATAGTGAATAAATCACAAGTTACCAGTGATGGGACTTGTTCCTACAGGCTACCAAAGAAACTTCCCTGTAATTCATTACTGCTACCGACAGACAAGTGTGTGGGATGTACGTAACACTCCGTTTCCCAAGCTAAGACCTTAGCTCATTGTAACTACTTGCTTATGTGACCAGGTAGTGAGGTATAGTAGAATCCTGACCATGGGTGGCATTTTCTGGATTGTTTTCAATTTGTTAAATACTAAGGCAACTACAAACCCTGTGTTATTGAGCTTTAGCTGAATTGTTTTAGCTTAAATATCACAGAACATGCCAGAAAAGCTTTGCCTAGAGGAGTGTTTTCAAAGTATGCTCCCTGAACCAGCAACATCAGCATCACTGGGGGACTTGCTAGAGATGTAAATTCTCAGGTCTCACATCAGACTTAGGGAATAGATAACTGGGGATGGGGCCCAGCACACTGTATTTTAACAAGCTCTTTACATATTCTGATGTACCCTGAAGTTTGAGAACCACTGATCTAGAGATGTTTTCATTTGTCAGGATTAATTTTGAAGTATTCTACTAATATGTACTATGTAAAAGGTTGAGTTTGTTGTTGAAACTAGGTATACAAATGAGGTGTTTCTTAGATGAGTTATAATTTTAAGGCAACAGAAAGGAGCATTCTAAACCTTTCTTTTAAACTAAATTTAGCTTAGTTACTAATCTTATATAATGAGATTGCCATTAATAATTAAAATTTCTTTGACCCTGATGAATATATTTAACAGACTGAATGGAGCAAGGGCAGAAGCATAGACATCCATTGGAACAGTCCCTTGCCAAAGCTTACAGGTTAGTAGGTGGTAGATTTAGAACTTGAATCCAAGCTTTCTAGCTTTAGATCATGCTCTTAGCAACTACTTTTTCTGCCCCGTCAGAAAGAAAAGAGTGAGCAGCTGTGTCAATTATTGCTAACAAGTCTTTTGAGATACAGACTAAGAATGGATTTTGAAATCTGGAGGTAATCAGTGACCTCTTAAGAGCATTTTCAGTGAAGTAGTGGAAATGAAAGCCTGATATGAGAATGAGGAAAGGAGTTAAGACTTAAAACATATGTAGAAGGTAAGTCACTAGCTCAGCAGAAAAATTATGGCAGATTTGAAATTTGAAGCTTGTGTAAACCAGCATGATGTATTT